ACGTTCTCGCACATTCAATCACGTTGCGCCAAGGTGCCTGCACGAAATGTCACCGTTTTGGGGAGGACTTGGCGCAAAACACAGCTAACTCTACAAACAATGGAAACCTGACACACCAAGGTCTGACTGGAATCGTCAAAAGTTGAACAAACGAAGCAAGGTAAAAATGGAAAATCGCCTTTCATAGAAATTCGCGTGTATCTCAACATTACTTTTCTGAACGAACGGAGATGGTATCGGATCACTGCCAATGAATATGATTAAATTTTGACATAGAGGTGAACGTAATAAGAGGCATTTGCAATCTCACTTACTTCAATACCAACAAGTATTTTCGATTCCAAATTATGCTCGAAGTTCTATTTATCATTTAACGCGAATATTTTTCTACAAACAATGTTACCATATCTCTTGGTATGTTTACGAAATGTGATTTAAGAATAGAGGAATATCCTTCGTGCTATATGCAACTTCATTTCACCTAATATTAGTACATCGGATTGTACACTAATCACAATATGATCATACTTTTATTTTTAATTCCAATCATTAAAAAAGTATTCTGTTTTTTATAATCAACAAACCAGCAGTTTCGACACAAAATTGAAAAAACCGGAAGTCCATATTAACTATCCAATGGAAAGGGAGAAAAAAGTAGCAATGACAACACAAATGGTTGTTGCTGGCATCATCACGCGTAGCCGCATTTCCAAGTCTGTCTGTTCAATCTGTCCATCATTGCAATAAATAGTAGTTACCGAAGACGCGTCAAGGAAATACTGAAGAAAATATCCAATAAAAACTTGCAATACGTCGATAAGAAAGAGAAATAGCGACATGCATTTAGCGGATTCTTTAGAAAAATGTATCAGCAGCGTAAGCAAGCGTGGAAAATGATTCACGCCACTGCCAGATCGGTTCGTTCGCTGAACGAAGGCGCGGCGAAGCGGTTCGGTTCGCTCATCGCCAGGTGGCCCCCGGCGACGCGGCGCGGCGCGGCGCAGCGCCTTGGGAGGGCGGCGGCCAGGGAGAGGGCGTGCAAAACGCGGGCCCACTTTCGCCAGCGGCTGGGCTGGCTTGCACAGACTCGCGACGCCGCAGGGCGCTTGCACCGGCGGGCAACAGGGAAGCGAGGCGGGGCGAGGCGCGGGGCGGGGCAGGTGAGCGCGTGAGTGGGCGGGCCGGTGGGCGTGCAGGTAGGGGAGAGAGCGAAGGCGGGCAACGCAACACGAGACCGATTCCGAGGGTGAGCTGGCAGATTGTGTACACATTAACACATGTGAAGAGACACGAACGACACCCAGAATGTTAAGGATGAACCGATTCGAAAACGTGCGAAAGAATCTGTTACTTAAGCTGAGGAAGCCATTCAAGGGTGTGTCAGAAACAAAACGGGAAGTCGGTGCAAAAGGATGACGAGAAAGTTACGAGAAAGCATGACGGCAAAAGTTCCAGAAAGAATTCCCCTGAGATGAGAGCACGAGGAAAGACAATGAAAGCCGAATGACCCTCAAAAACATCGAACAGTGCTAAGGAAAGAATGTAAGATAATCATTACGAAGGAAGAAAAAAGCGGTATTCGTTGAAGTTTTCGTTGATATGTGAGTGCTACTCGTAGAAATCAAATCTGTTGTAACAACTTTTGTTTTTACCCGCAAGATGAGCAGATTCGATGACTTAATCATCATTCTGCGAACCAGTCACATATCATATCTGGGAGAGAAAATTTTAGAATTTGTAGTGGACAACACCTTCTATTTCTCCACTGCAAAACATCTCTGCAATAGGATTGTTAGGAAATTCACAGGCGGCCTCACAACGGTCAGAAAGAAAGCTATCGCTAGGACGAAGATCGATGGGATAATAGAGATTATGCCGTATCAAAGTGTGCCGTTGGGTTAATCGGTGACGTGATTGGGCGCGAGAAGGAAAAGGTGAAGAGAAGACAAGTGAATAATTGCAAACTAGAGGGCGAAGGTTTCGGCAGGTGTAACAACTGAGCGAGCGGGTGGGTGGGCCGTGAAGAGCACCTCTGATACTCTGAGAGGGCGGAGCGACGTCAATGAGCGACTGAGCGGGAAGCGCGGCATGGGCGGGTCAGCCGGGCGGACTGCTGGGGGCGGAGATGTTCGTGGGAAGATCGGCATGCAGAGAAGGAAAACTAGATGCAAGGGTGTGATAATCAGTAAGTCGAGTAGATGAAGTCGAAAACAAACAAGGATCTTTGGCGATTCTTTCATTGTAGAAATGAAAGAGAGAGGTAAAATATAGGTGCAGCATAGTAACAATTATGCAAATTTCCATCACAGCAACTCTCGCAATTCTTGCTAATGTAGGACATGTATGTAAACATCTTTTAGAAAATGAAAAGCAATTACTTATATTTTACACCTAGTAGTCTAATATAATGTTACTAATTTCTTGAGTTTAGTATTCGTGTATTGGAAGAAAAGAAGAGTATAATTCAGTATTTTCTCTGGGTCACAAAAGGTCCAACTGCTGGAATCATTAGTTTCAGTGCATTATGATTGCTTGCTAAATCTACACATTAATTTTATGTTTGTAAGTTATCACTACCGCATACTAATTTTCAAACTGAGGAAGAAATGTGAATCAACTAGAACAAGGCAGCACAAATGAGACAAGAAGAAATGATCTATATATCGTTAATCAAGTGCAATGTCAACACCATTATGACATCATTCTGCAGTTACTCTAGAAAACCAGCTGGAAGCCGTCCCCGTCAATTCACGCCCGCTCTGCTCTCCTCTGGGTTGTAACGCGGGCATGCCGTTATTTATTCACTTTCCATTAAAGAACATCAGGGCTTTCCGCAATCTCCTTTGCGTCATCCGCGTCGCTGCGTTCTTTGCTAAGAGCCGAGAACAAGCGTGCGGGAGAAACACTCAATAGCTGAACCATCTAACGGTAACACCCTTTCCCAACATCCTGCTCCGCTTCTACGAGGACAACAAATCAATTGATATTCTTTTTAGCCTTGAACTCACTGAATAAAAGCAATTAACGCAATGAATGAAGCGTATCAACTTGCGAATTACTCTTATACGGGCAAGTTATAAACGCGAGAGCAACAATTCATACAAAATAGGTTCTATCTTGACACCATGATTTCTAAGAAAAGTTGCTCCACATTCTCCAATATCAATGACGGTGTTCGTAGGAGTAATCTCATGTATGCAGTAAGTTGCCTAGATATAGTAATAAGCAATAATGAAGTAACTTTAATCATAAGGAAATTTTTGAAATTTTCCAAAGCATTTCATATAGAGAAAATGCATGAAAAGGATCCTTATGAAGAACTCGCATATTCACATGTGTATATATACTACAAGAAGATCGCATTGAATAAAGATCGATTACTGCATGAAGATCGAATTGAATGAAAACCGGAGACGTTAAGTTGCCAATTTAAGTCAGAAATTCTACTAACCAAGACCATTAATCAAGTCAGAAATATTCTTAAACGTAAATGTCAAACTGGTCAAGTAGATACCGCTCCTGTGGAACACGGGCGGCTGTGATCTCATAAATGGGACAGTCACGCCAAGAGCAGTTATAACGCCCAGTCATGTCTCATTAAATTCTCTTAACATGCTTTTCAGCAAGCAGGTACCGTAGAAGACAGGGCAAGTGCCCACGGAACATTGATTTTGAAGACCGTCAACCTGCAACCCACCTTAACTTGCGATGAGCGATAAAATAGTATTGAATTCGTCAAAATTCAACGTTATTGAAATGCAATGTTATGAATTAGAACTGGCATTCAGAATTAAAATAATTTTGGCTTAACAAAACCTCTCAGAATTATAAATTCATTTTGTTCTTTCCTAGTTCTTTTTTAGCTTGTATCAAGATATAATTACTTCAATTTATTACTTCAATTGACGATAAACATTAATTGATGTTAGGAGTAATTTGGCGAGAAATAACGGAGACGTTTTCTGTAATACAAGCACTTAGAGAAGTATATTCAAGAGAATATACGCTTGAATAGATAGAAAACTGTTTGTTCTTCTTCATGCGGATTGCTTGTCAAGACTACCCACGACGATTCAAGGTGGGAACAGTAGCACGACGACGATTTTACAGTAAAATAATATTTAAAAGTACTATCAGTTAACTACAGGTTCCTTCCCAGGTCCCTTCCTTTCCTTAAATAGACCTTATCATGTTTGATGTTAAAACACTTGTACAACACCTAATGTCAAACAACGATACATATGACCATGTGAATTTTTATTACTTCACAATACATCGACATTATTATATTTCATCGAATTCGAACCACCACTGATAGTTTATTGTGGCTCTAGCTTTTATACATGATGTGAAATTTTTTTTCTTCAAATATAGGTATATATTTTGAAAGTCTACAAGTTACGTTCAAAACTTGAAATATAGAAAAATAAACAATTATTTGAGACCATTTCTAAGAGACATAACCAACACGCGTTTATACAGCATTTCAAATGCAACAGTTGGGGACATAATGTATTATCTTGCTCGACCAAAAAGCCAGGGAGCGCGCGGAATGGGACCACCCTATTGCCCACATCCACTGGCATCTAGGGCAAGGCGCCCTTCGCATTCCCAGCGCCGCGCGGGGCCAGGAGCTTTTGTTCGAGCGGCCGAGCGCGCCAGGCGGGAGGCGGATTTCTTTGCGCGGCGGCCGCGCAGGCGGCTGGCGGGGAGAGGGAGCTGAGGCGGCCAAAGCGCGCGTGGGGCGGCTGGCGAAGGAACGCTGGCTCCGCCGCCGCCCCGGAGCAAGGACGCGGCGCGACAAAGCGCCCTGTCGCTGCGTCACTCCTCTTCCTGTCCCCGCCCCACTCGGCCACGCCCACTGCCACTCACTTCATTCCGGGCCGCCGGGCAAGAGTGAACGGATTGTCGCGTCGCGCGAGCGGCACGGATAGGCGAGGTAGGCGGAGGGCGGGCGCCGGCGAGCAGTGAGGGGGGGGGATGAGGCGAGGCGGGGCAGAATGCTCCAAGCCGACCGGTGGCTGGCTTTGGTGGATGCGGAATTGACCACAAGAAATATAGGCGATCAACTTAAGACTCCCGGAGACAATCGTGACCATACACGTAGTGTAACGTTTGAGAAGGCCACAGCATGTGATTCAGGATACCACCGAGGAATTACAGACTCTGAGATTGCGATTGTAAGGAAAATCAACAACTGCATATGCTATTTTAAAACATATGTGCACACTGCAACATCTGATTATAAAGATCTAGTTTGTGTCTCATAACTCTACATAATTTTAAATTCAAAACTGAAGATAATTGAACGCCATTCCTATTCTATCAACATAAAAGACAATTGATACAGCATACTGAAATGTAGTTCAGGTAGTTCCTGACAAACTTTCGAAAATCTTATTCTGAATACAGTATCAAAGTATAATCAACCTCTCAAGAAAAAAGTTAATGTGCTTAGTCTAAGGAATAAAAAACTATATGAATTATTTCACGATGAAAATTATTATATAAGTTAAGGATAAGTTTAATTACAATATATTTATGGTAAATAAAGTAAAATGGCAATTAAAAGATTACTCATCTTCACTGCGAATGTTCGAGCATTATTCGGAACTTATTTGATTCTAGGGTTGACGCATCATATTTATCTACCACAATAATACCCCAAAACGCCTCTCTCATTTGCACGCAGATGCTCCCGGTGCTGGCAGCGGCGACAGCCCTTCTCCTAGTGGCAGTGGCACACGCCCGAGTCGACCGCCCCGCGCAATACAGCTATGGCTACGTCGTGCAAGATCACTACACGGGCGACTCCAAGGCGCATCACGAGTCGCGCCAGGGCAGCGTGGTGCGCGGCAGCTACTCGCTGGTGGACCCTGACGGCACCCGCCGGACCGTGCAGTACATCGCCGACCCTCTCGCCGGCTTCAACGCCGTCGTCCGGCAAGAGCCTGCACACGCGCCTGCCGTTGGCGCCGTTCCGCTCGGTGGATCTAACAAGGCTGCTTCAGCTGCTCCTCCTCGCATTGCAGCGGTCAAGTTCATCGCCCCGGGAACGTTTGCTCAAGGAGGCGCTGGAGGCAACGCGAATTCCGGGAACTTTGGTCGTGACAAGGGTGTCGGAAACGTACACCACTACGGTCGAATCAGCGGTACCAATAGCATTATTGGTCTTACTGATGTTCACGGTGGACCGTTCGCAGCTATTAGACCTTTCAACTCTGCGGCCAATGATGCCTTAAGCGATACCAACGCACTAAGACCCAACGGCAAAACAGGAACCACAAATTCCGGAACAATAGGTGCACCAGCGACCTTGCCTGAACATAATTTTCTAACTGCGACAAACGTTGGCACTAAAACAATAACAAACCCATCTCCAAGAGCCAAATCGTTTCCCTCACCTCTCAACTACCTCACCCAAGCTGTCCCCAACAACCACCGCCCGGTCCCTCCGACAGCCCCTCCGCGCCCCAGATACCCCACGCGGCGCCCGCGCTACCCGCTGCGGCCGTCGGGCTTCGTGGCGGCGGAGCCGGGCGTGAGCCGCCAGCGCTACGCCGCCATCGGCCGCGCGGCGCGCAGCCGCCCATACGCGCCCGGGTGGTAACCGGTCGGACGGAAATCTGAAGAAGGCTGCATTGTCGGGCGCGCTCAATGACGCAACCGCTTCGCTGAAGAAACGTATTAACACACAATGCGGTACAACGGGTACTGGAACGCAACTGTTGAAAAAGTACTCCGCTTTGTTATAAATTGCTCAATTTCTGATGTTTCTGTCAAAATGTGCATATTATTATTAGTTTCATTACTTTTATTTCTTACTCGTTTCAGAGAAACTGAAGAACAGTACATATCTTGGCTGAAAAAAATCATAGAATTCTTTCACTGTATATATTTTACGGTTACAGATTCCTCCCTACGAAAAGGAATTTCATAAGAAAAAGAGTCCATATTCTAAAAATGAATAAGTCAACTGAATATGCCAGACACGTTATGTTAAACAATAAGTCAATGATCAATTGCGACCCCAATACAGAATAACATCCGAAAGTTATTAACAGCTGTAAAACACGTCGCAACACCGGTTGATAACAGAAATAAAAGACTCCAAGACACGCTTCTATCTGATTTGGACGCGAAAACTACTTTCACGTTCCCTAAAACAAATTTCACAGATTCGCACATCTCTACAAAACCATTAGTCTCCGAGTTCCTTAATTTGGTCAGGTCGGTTCCTGATTGTCACCGGTTTACGGCAGCAGAAGGTCGCAACGTTACGGCCCGAGATCTCCGAGGTGCGACGGCTTCCCGAAGGCGCAGGCCATATGGCGCGGGCCGGTGGACGCCGCCGCGCCGTGACAGCGAGGGCGCCCACCCGAGCACAGCGCTGATCTGCGGATCACAGCGCCCGACCGACAGACCGCAGGCCCCACCCACGCGCCGCCGGCATCCCGCGGCGTACCCTCACCACGCAACGGGGACCACTTATAACAAGAAAGGGAGACGCAAGGAGCCCTCTATTCAAACACGGAAATGAAATTACATTGTGCAAGGATCATCATTTCATGTTCCATAGGTCTCTTCGAGGAATTTGCTTCATTTTTAGTTGCTACAAGTGCATAGTTTATTACTTCTACCCAAATATCTCATGTACCCACAAACACAAGAATGCATATATTATTTAATTTGTTCATAAATATTTATACTTGGAGCCACTAACGACGGAACTCTGAAACGGAATGCCGCGCAACATATACAAGTATTAATAAATGTCTTTGTAGAACAGCATTTCAATATCAATCTTTGAAATTTTGCAATCTTTGCAATCAAAGTCGAATCCTGGATCTTTTTGGTTCTATAAATACACTGAACAATATAAGAACATAGTAATATATTCATTTAATTAACTTAAATGCGTCATCACCAATGTGCGTCTAATGAAAACATATTTGACATCATTCCCACTTCTGGAACACTTAGGAAGACAACATTTGTTAATATTTCACTAATTCCCACCTTTATTCTAGAATGGTACGGTGAACGTGTATTTCCAATAATATTTTCCAAGAAATATTTTACTACATTATTATATAAATCATACTTCATTATGTTATGTTTTGTTCATTTATGTTGAAATAAAAACGCATATATTAAAAATAATTTTCAATTAACTTTATCCAATCATCCCATCGGAGAAAACCAAATTCCCAGTAATATTAGCATCACACTTTTCATCTATAATTACGAAAACATAAAATAAAAATACTGTGTGGGTCTTAACATCAAACATTACGGAAGTAAATACAAATCAGATGTTTCTCCTTACAAAGCTCACCAAACAATTTTCAAATAACGCGAGGTTTTGAAGCAGTTTAGCGGTTAGGATAGAAACGAGTTTCCCCATTTCATCAACGACTGCTTCAAAACAAAGAAAATACTAAGAGAGAAACAATCCTGATGGCAATTTTATGGACCAACGTTCACGAAACAATCCTTACATAAATAGCAATTCCGTTCGCGACGGCCACAATACCTAACGGAATCCTAATCTAACAATAAAAACCACCGTCAGTGGGCGGAGGCTGGGAGCGGAGAGGGACGGACAGCCGGTGGAAAGGGGGAGGGGGAGGGCGCTCGTCGGCTCACGTCGGCGGCTGCCGCGCCCTCCGCGATGCGACGCTCGGCACCGCGCGCGCGTGAGGCGGTCGCAACGGCGCCGCTTGACCGTACACACGAACGGCCGGGGGCGGCGCGGCGGGCGCGGAGCGGAGCGGCACGAGGCCCGGCGAAAGCGTTTGTCGACCAGCCGCCCCCGCCCCGCCTTCGCACGCCGTCCTGCATCCGCCTGCGGGAGCGGGGCAGTCGCACGGCACCGGCGCCGCTGCCCACGCCGCGAGAGGAAAGAAACTTGGCTCGCATTCGTTGGAAGTTCACAAAAAACACGGTTTTAACCTCAGTGGAGCTGTTTACATCACGCAGAAAACACTGTTTTTCTTCTTGTATCTGCATAGGCCGTGTTGCGAACGATATGGACTTATTCTCGTAAAATGACATCTATTCTCAAAATACATCTTTACTTCACCCATTTTTTAATGAATCAAATTTGTTGTGCACAGATATTTCATTCACTAGCAATTACGACAGCGTCGGGTGTTACATACTCGTATATTTCCCATAATTTTCACTGATCATTTTAATTTTACCTTTGTCCGTCGATATTGGCATCTAGTCACACATCCTTATTGTTGCATAATTCAAACAATAAATTCAAAATTATATGGTAAACATTTCATTTTACAGATAACTGAGAAATTACATGTATTAAAACATTCGAAATTAGTTTGGAATAATTTATTAAATGTTATGTGCTAAAAATGAAGATGCAAATCATGATTAGTCTTAGAGATTTTCTGAATAGCAAAAAAAATCACATTAAGTATGAATAATGAGTGATTGTGTTCTTTTACAGCCACTTCCCCAAACGTTTAGGAGGAATGGTATAGGAATAAAAAAAATTATTAGCATTTAACGACTAGGCGAACAGATTTTAAAATATTTTTCTGGATGTACTTTTCATATTTTTCTGGATGTTTTTTTCATATTTTTCTGATTTTTCACGCTCCCGTAAATTGGAAAATTGCTTCGTTGGGTTGATTGAATTGATTTAGGAAGCATTGTGCATTAATACTTTTTAATGACTAAGAAAATGAAATGACGAAGCAACACAAAATAACGAATTTTTTAGTATTCCCATAGCAAAGAAACTATGTTGTAAGGTAATTCGCAATTGCCCAATCGCGGCCTTCGCCGTTGATTTCCACACATTTTCACTCATCTCCCGGTTTTCACTTCATGAAATGATATCACACGCATCTCACATATCTCTCAAGAGATTGTCTTCCACCGGTTCCTTTTCACATAAAATAAATAAAACCTTAATGTAATTGTATAAATATATGTAATGTATAAATTGTGTTGTTTTCCGTAATCATTTCGTGTTAAGCATTAGATATGATCAGTGCATAAAAATAAAATGAAAAAATTAAATGATGAAATACCAATGACAAATGATGAAATAACAAAAGATAATGTAACGAACAGAATGTCAGAAAAGAGAGCACACTACATATTGTATTGTATCTACATTTTATATAAAAAGGGAGATGTTTGATTATGTTCCACAAAAGATTTTGAACCACTGGAACGATTGCTCCCAATTGTACACAAATACATTTGAGAAGTGGAGAGAAAAGTAAGGCGGTTCGCGATCTCCAAATATTAACCCAAATTCATTTCTTTCCGAAATTTCTGAAAACTAGCAACGCGTGGGCGTTGTTACTGTGCGGATGCATTGTTTAAGTGCAGCAGGGAGAGGGGAATTTATTGTTTGGGTTATTGAAACAGTTTTTAATAAAAAATTGAAAGAAACAGCCTTCATAATTCATTATTAATTGATTAATTATATTCCTTATTAATTGATTTAAGCGAAATGTGAACAGATACCGGGGTTCTCCTTAGTAGAATGTTACAAGACGCTCTTTCTTTTAAAATGTTTCAGAAATTTAAAAAAAAAGAACTACATTAAATATTTTGTTGCCTTTCGAGATTTCTTACCACGTTCCTCACTATGCACTCAAATGTCAGTAGGTCCACATCTCTTCTCCTCTCCCCTCTCATCTACCTCTGCCCCACTGGTCGTCGCAGACGTAGTCTCCTGGGGGCATCACACTGCGAAGTTTATCGCGTCCGGTGCCGTGCCTTACGCCAATGCGTATATCACAGTGATTTTACGGTGCCCGTTTTCTATTTCTCACGCTGCCGCACGCGTAGTCGTTGGGTGGCCACCACTGCCACCATCTCCACTGCCGCCAACTCTACCCACTGGTGCAGCTACCACCAACGCAACCGCCGCCTCCGTTCTCAACGCAACTGTTCCACCGCTGCCGTCGCCAACGCGCCAACCGC